TGACAACTGTCACCGGGAACTTCACAAGCACAGCATCAGGAGAAAAGGTCCACGCAGGGGGTGAAGCAGATACAAAGAGGACTCGGAGCTCAGACAAGCCGAAACAGGAACCCAGATGGGAAGGAAAGTGGGTATGTCACAGCATCCCCTACTCCCTGTCTCTGGAAGCAGCAGCCACGCAACTTCAACAAAGGGCATCCAGGCCATGACTTCAAATATTGCTCTCCAGAAAAATGAAACAATGCCCTTCAAGAACTGGCCAGTCCAGGGCCCAGCGCGGTGGCGCAAGTGGTTAAGGTCCTCACCTTGCATGCCCAGGATCCCATATGGGCGCCGGTTCTATCCTGGCAGCCCCGCTTCCCTTCCAGCTCCCTGCCTGTGGCCCGGGAAAGCAGTCGAGGACGGCCCAAAGCTTTGGGACCCTGCACCCTCGTGGGAGACCCGAAAGAGGCTCCTGGCTTCGGACCGGCATAGCATCGGCTGTTGCGCTCACTTGGGGAGTGAATCATTGGATGGAAGATCTTCCTCTCTGTCTCTCCTCTCTGTATATCTGCCTTTCCAATAAAAAAATAATAAAAATAAATCTTTAAAAAAAAAAAAGAAGAACTAGCCGGTCCAGATTCAAGGCAGGACAGGTACAAAATCACCTGCATCAGTACGTTGTTCAGGCTTTGCTCAAAGAATGGTGGGCTCATGTCAAAAAGACACAGAAGAAAAAATGGGGGCCTGGTGTGGTAGCCTAGCAGTTAAAATCCTCGCCTTGAAAGTGACAGGATCCCATAGGGGCCCTGGTTCTAATCCCGGTGGCCTTGCTTCCCATCCAGCTCCCTGCTTGTGGCCCAGGAAAGCAGGCGAAAACGGCCCAAGGCCTTGGGAGGAGACCTGGAAGAAGCTCCTGGTTCCTGGCTTCAGATTGGTGCAGCACCTGCTATTGTGGTCACTTGGGGAGTGAATCATTGGACAGAAGATCTTCCCCTCTCTCCTCCTCTCTGTATATCTGACTTTCCAATAAAAATAAATACATCTTAAAAAGAAAAGGGAAAAGAAAAGAAGAACTTTTAAAAATTTAAAGAAGAGGAAGGACACAGAAGCCAGTTTCACAGGACTCTATCAATTAGAGCATCACAATAATTGACACTGGTAAGGAATTAAGCAAGGGTAAAAGATTATGAGGTTGTAATGGCCATGTTTGCCCATTTTAAACAAATGTGTTTAAAAATGGGAGATGAAAAATTTCCTTGATACCGTAAGTTGCCAACAACTCCTTGGAGAGAAGATGGTAAAAGAGAAAACTAGCATTTGGTAAGCCTCACAGTCACCATCCATTGCAACAGGTTCAGCTCAATGAGTGCTCAAACAAGTTGGTGAAAGTGGGATGAGTCACTGAATCTTTATTTAATATCTGTTAATCACGGAAGAAAAAGCAACTTTGCAGTGGAAAAATGGGGCAGGAACTAAATGGTCAAAGTTACCATCACCGATAGGGTGCAGGGAGCAGATCCAGCATTACTGCTGCCCCAAAAGCATGACCTTGGCCTAATCATGAGGATGTCCAGGGCAAACCCAAACTGAGGGTCATGCTATGACACTTGATCTCCCACAGTCAAGGACAAGAAATACAAAGAAAGTTCTGGATGAAGAAGGCTGATCTCATGTGATCACATGTCGCAAGCAGCACTTGGAAGGGGTCTGGGCTCTAAGGGCAAGGAAGTCCCTTGCACTATTCTTAGAACCTTTCTGTAAAAAGCACATTATTTTGAGATAGCATTTTTTTAAAGCATGAATGCAGATTAACAATTACAGATTGTGTGAACTGTTAAAATGATGTGACATCTACACGGATGCCAGTGTGTCTCAAAAGTGCAGTCGGTGGCCCAGCGGCGTGGCCTAGTGATCCTAGTGAACGTGCTGGGATCCCATATGGGTGACGGTTCTAATCCCGGCAGCTCCACTTCCCATCCAGCTCCCTGCCTGTGGCCTGGGAAAGCAGTCGAGGATGGCCCAAAGATTTGGGACCCTGCACCTATGTGGGAGACCCGGAAGAAGTTCCTGGCTCCTGGCTTCGGATCGGCATAGCATCAGCCATTGCGCTCACTTGGGGAGTGAATCATCGGAAGGAAGATCTTCCTCTCTGTCTCTCCTCTCTGTATATCCGCCTTTCCAATAAATAAATAAATCTTTTTTTAAAAAAAAAGTGCAGTCGGATGACTGAGGTCATTCTACAAAGGGCTGTCACATCACATCAAGAGGGGCGACTCAGCCATAGCATAGCGGTTAAAGTCCTCGCCTTGAACGCGCCAGGTCAAATATGGGGGCTGGTTCTAATCACGGCAGCCCCGCTTCCCATCCAGCTCCCTGCTTGTGGCCTGGGAAGGCAGTCGAGGACGGCCCAAAGCCTTGGGACCCTGCACCTGTGTGGGAGACCCGTGGGAAGCTCCTGGCTCCTGGCTTCAGACTGGCTCAGCTCCAGCAGTTGTGGCAGCTTGGCGAGTGAACCATTGGATGGAAGATCTTCCCCTCTGTCTCTCCTGTTCTCTGTATATCTACCTTTCCAATAAAAATAAATCTTAAAAAAGAAAAAAAAAAAAGAAAGAGAGGCGACTCCCATGTCAGTCACTCACCATCAGCACTGCAGCGCGGCACTGTGGTTCCACTTAGAGTCTGCGTTTGCCACGAAGGAAGCAGTATGTTGCTGACCCACCTTGTGAACCAAGCCCCTTGACTCGACACAGATGGACACCCAGAGTCTCCCTGGCGTACAAGGCCATGAAATACAAGATGAACCTTTATGAAAAGCTGGATGTTGAACAGGAGCATGTTCTCCCTTGTGAACCACAGGTAAAGTCATGAAAGAGAGGGCAGGAGTGTGGCCCAGTAGTTAAGGTGCTCTTTAAAACACCCATGTTCCATATCAGAGATCTCAGCAGTCCCGTCCTTGCTCAGGATTCCAGATTCCTGCTCAGAAGTGGTGATCTTGATTCAGATCATTGAATTCCAGTTACCCACATGGGAAACTGGATTGAGTTTCCTGCTTCCGGCTCTGGCCTGGCCCAGTCCTGGGCACTGTAGGCACTTGAGGAGTGAGCCAGTGGATGACAGTTCACTCTCGCTCTTCTCTTTCTCTGTCTCTTCGTTTTGCAAATAAATTCATTTATATATGTAAGTGCCCAGATTGGAACATACTTATGGAGGAACTATGAATGAAAGAAATGGATTCTTGGTACCCACATGACCCGGCTTTTGTCACAAGTCGGCCCAGTAACCTCTTAACCCTTTCTGTTCAAGCTGGCATTGAATGTCCCTTGGTATTTCTACAAGCCTCAAGGACAGAGAATATCTCACCCCACCCCTAAATTCTTCACTGACTTGTCCCCAAATGAGTGCAGGTGGGACTGTTAAAAAGACAGAACAGGTAATAATTTAATAAAGATGTTTCAATAAGTGCGAGCAAAATGTTTAACACCACATTGTTTTTTTGTTTTGTTTTGGTTTTTCGTTTTTTGTTTTTTTTTTTTCAGTTTTGTTTTTTACATCCCAAGGAAAAACTCCCTTGGGTATAAAAGAGATGTTTCTGGCAGATACCATGGCTAGTGCTTATGCTTAGTAAACTGGAAAAGAAAAATCTGCTCTTGATCTTACAAGTGCTGGTCATCTGTTTCTTAATCATTCCTGCCTCTGCAAACAATCTTGGTTGGCATATCCTTCACGCATGACTTGACAAGGTTGTTCCTGCTCCTTCTACATTTTCCCTTTTTGGTGAATGCCCCTCGCGTGTTCTAGGCGACATGCTCTTTTCCTTTACTTCCTGGGCGTAAGCAGCAAGCCATGCTGTTCTGCTCCTGTTGCCAAGAACTTGCATTGCCAGAGTAAACAAGTTTGCTTGCTTTGTACGCTGCACTTCAGAGTGGCAGGAAATATGAGATCCACTGGTGTGGGGGTGGCCCAGCCTTCAGGCTGGGTGACCTGGCCTTTTGGACCACTACAGTTCACCCGTGGGAGGAACGATCAAAGCAGTCCGCAAGCGCTTCAGTGCCAGCGAAGCCCTGTCTGCTACTGCTGCTTGTTTGGGAAGCATACAAACACCCCTGCCTTGACCCACATCAGTCACTTGAGTTTGCCATACCAGTTCTTCTGTAGCACCTGGAGGTGACACCAAATATGGGACATGTACCCAGTGTTGGCTGTTGCATCTAGCTGGATTTATCTTAGGTCTCCAGAAACCCCAGTGCTCCTAGGAGTGCTGCCATGCCTGAAAAACTGGAAGCACACACATGGGGACAGAGCCCAGAGCAGGTGGAGAAGTTTCCTGAGCTCAGCAGACTCCTGAGAAACAGATCATCTGGCTGCAAATGTAGCACCTAAGGACTGTCACAGCCCTTAGGAGCAATCACCTCATTTCCAAACTTTAAAAATGCAGTGATTCATGATGTTGGTTCTCTACCACTTGGCCCCTGCCCATTTCCACATCTCCAACCACCCACAGTCTCACATTGCATGCTCCCACCAACTCTGGCAATCCCCATATGCCTTATGTTATAGCCTACCTCTGAGCTTTGCTCAGAAAATTCCTTTGCCGTGTCCACTAAAGGCCCAGTGGCCAGTACAGAGCAGACATTCAAGAATGGCCACTGAACCAAGCCAGTGAACCCCTCAACTCCCTATGCTTCATGTGGAATACACCAGCTCCCCACAATTAACTCTTTCCCAGTCTTCAAGGTTTCTTCGTGGTCCATTTTCCATTTGTGAGATACCCCATATGTCTCAGCAATGGGTTAAGCCCAACCCAGAGACATTAGATATTGGTCAACATCTTAACCTAGAGGAAATAGATTCTAGCAGTAATTAGTGGACATCACAAACACAGCCTGTACACATTTCTCAGGTAGTGGATGGAATTGGCTCATTCAGACTAAAGAATGCCAAGGATGTAACAATGTCAGTTTCTGTGCTAACAATGCACTCAGCATCATGGTTCTTTGTTGCTATGGTAACTCTGTGTTGACTCACTAGGATGAAGATTCCTTGGCCCTGGCACAGCTTACCATTAAGGCAGCCTCATGATTTATCATCCAAACTAGGATACTTCAGAAGGACAGAAGGATTAATATTAATAATTATACCAGTGCAACAGGTATAAATGGTTTAGTTCTTGGCAAATTAGGATGGATGCCCCACTTCCTATATCCCAACAGGCCCTATTGTCTCACACAAATGGACTCTCACAAGTGCTGGCTGAATGAAGGTATCTTATGTTTTTTGCTTCTCCCGAGTTTCAATTTAAGGTCCTTAAGAGTAGAGATAATAGCTAACGCTTTGTCAAGATCATCAGTAAGGTTGGATACATAATAGCTATTTTTTTAAAAAAGTGTTGACTGAATTGTGTGAGATATTGGTCCCAAGCGGAAATTCCCCACGGGTATCTGTAACTCCAAGACTGGAACTTTAGGGACTGGCACTGCATATGAACACTGGTTTGAAACCTAACTGTTCCACTTCCAACTGAGCTCCCTACAAATGGACCTGGGAAAGCAGGAGAGAATGATTCAAGTGCATGGAACCACAGTATCCTCCTGGCTCTAGGCTTCAGACTGGCCCAGCTCTGGCCATTATAGCTATTTAGGGATAAACCAGTGGAGGAAAGATATCTCTTTTCATCTCTCTCTCTTTCCCTCTCTGTAACTGTTTCCAATAAGTAAATAATTGTTAAATATAGAACTTTAAAAACCAGTGGTATCTAGAGTAGGTAAAGCTACAACCTGCAGCATTCTCTTCCCATATGGGCATGAGTCTTGTCCCTTCTGCTCCACTTCAGCAACCTGCAAACAGCCTGAGAAAAACAGTGGAAGATGGCCCAAGTTCCTGCGTTTATGGCACTCATAAGGTTTCAGCCTGGCCTATCTAGGGAATGAGCCAGTGTATGGAGGAAGATCTCTGTCTCTTCCTGTTTCTCTGTAACTCTTTCAAATTTATTTGAAATAAATGATTTCTTTAGAAAAACAGAACTTTGCTAAGAAGTAAATGCTAGAATATTTGGAACAGTGTTGGTCTATAGCATAATGGAAATAGTAACAAGTATCCCCAGATCCTATAGAAAACTAAGAAAACTCGGTGCCAGCATTGTGAAACATATGGAATGGTGATCCAAGTCCTGGATGCTCCACTTGCTGTATAGCTCCTAAGTAATGCTTGTGGATAATGCAGTGAAAGATAGCCAAGTACTAGAAGATCCGAATGGAGCTCTGGGAACCTGGCTTTGGCTTGTCACAGTACCAACTCTGGAAACTATTTGGAGAGTGAACCAGCAGATGGAAGATTTGTATGTCTCTCCTTCTCTCTCTGTCATTCTGCCTATCAAATAAATAACTAAATCTTAAAAACACGAAGAAAACTCAAATCAGTATTGAGTTCTTAAATAGATCCACAGGAGAATGAACCCGGGCTGGCTTCTGCTAAGAGAGAAGAAGGTAGGACCATCGGTGTTTTTATTGCTGCTGTTGTTGTTGTTTTTGTTTTTAATGTGGAGGCGGCACAGGGCAGAGCAACCAGGAGGGTAGCCTGCATTTCCCGTCACTCAATCTTCCTCTGAAACTAAAGCCCTGTAGGGTTTTTACTAACTTTACTGCTTCACAGTGCAGGGAGGGAGATGAGAGGGTGGGGGTGGGGTATGATTTTCTTCAGGAAAAATGGTGATAGGCAACACCAGGCTTTGGTAATCAAGGCTGACTGCAAAAGTAATCAAAAGGCAGACTTGTAGCCAATTGAACCAGGAGAGTGACGTCATTACCAGTGACTTCCTGCTGCCTCATTTCATAGACAACGACAACCAAAGCTCAGGAAAGTTATATGGCAGCCGTTTGTTGCTGCCTTCTTGGAGCATTCTTGCTGTGAGCATTTGACATTTGACTTCCCCTAGGTGGCTACTTGGACAATGCTGAGCAAATTCCAATCTTCATTCCATGACATCAATCTCTCCCCACCTCCTACCCCATTAGAAACTTTTCAAGTGTTTTTTCAAGCTAAGGACCTCCACTCCTTGTTTGGCGACTCTCACTTCTATGAGGTCCAGGGTAGCAAAGGTGAATCTGTTCTTGCAAGAGGCAGAAGCGGCACATCGAGGAGGCACCGCACGGCCTTCCCAGTGTGTAAATTTGGCTCTTGTCATTGCCGGCTCACAGTCCAGAAGACAGCAACATCTGATTTAGATATCCCCAGAATGAACTGGAGAGTCCATTCAGTCTCAGAGGACATTGAGATCATAAATTTATCACCAGAAAGCTTCACTTTAAATACTGCCATAGCTTTTATAGCCTTAGCAGCGGCCAGAAATGTCATCTTTGTAAGGTCACTGGACTTTTCCAAGACTCTCCTAATATTTCAAGAGTCCTCCTTGTCACGGAATTATGGCAGGCACCACCCTGGCATCTATCATTCAGACTGGGGACACTGAAAGGTGAAACTTATTTCCCAAAGTTACACAGTGAGCCAATATGGAAGCATAGTTTATGCCCATAACTCTATACTCAAAACCATTTCTGGAAAGAACAAGGTGAAGTGTTCTGGCTAGGGTCCAAGTTGTCATGTTCAAAAAGACTATTGTGGCACACTGCATTCATACATCCTTATCTGCCACCTTTATTTTTTAAGCAGAATGATTTTTTTTATCCAACACAATATTAAAAAAAATTAATAATGACCAAAGGTGAGAGTGACAAAGTAGAAATAAACCTAAGGGATCCCAGAAACTGACAAAATTCTAGTGCCAGTAAGGCATTAGTCAACACTTTAATTTACCTAATGAAAAACTGTGGATTGATGAATCTTTTGGAGAAAAGGTCCCAGCCCCAGCACACTGTGAGCCAAGGGCTGAGTGGAGGCATGGAACCTGAGTTCTGCAAGAGAATTAAAAATCTGAGGAGCCTTTTTCTCTTACCCTGGACAGCACAGCAGGTTAGGCATGGAGGGTTTTTCCTGCAGGGTAAAAATGTCAGAGTTTACCCTTTGTTACTGATGAGCAAGCAGAAATGAAGAAAAGCTCAGGGCACCCAAGCAGGATGACCATGGCATCCCAGAGCTTTCTTTTCCTTTATAGGAATTATTGACCATAAGCAACACCAACAACGAGCATGACCAACTAGGATCAAGGCAATCAGAGAATACAGCAGATCTGTAATGAATCTAAGGAGGCGAGGAGGAGCTAAGGAAGTCGGAGATCTGAAGAATACATGTTAAGAACCAGTCCTCTCCATTTTATTATTTGAGTTGAGTTTGGGGGATATATTTGGGAATTGAAGAAATCAATAGCTGCATGAATACCATTAAACCCATGACCCATGAGCAAAACCCCATCAAGGGCCTTCTTTGTTGTTCTGAGAACAAAGCATGCTAACTTTGGGGGAAGACCTCAGAGTTCATTGTGCGTTCCACTTAAGCAAGAGGAGGTGAAGAAAGAAGCAATGACTTGCCCCATGATCTCACAGGGAGTTAGCAGCAGCAGGCACCTGTAGGCAGATCCCTGACCGTGACCATGGCTTCTCTTCTGCCTGCACAGGGATTCCTGCCTTCTGCAGTGGCCTCTTAGACATGGAGAATTTCCCTACCTGGGAGACAGACAAGGAAATCAGAAAGGTAAACAGCAGGGCACATATTTACAGGACCATGAACTCTGCTCCCAGCACATTTTTCCTTTAGGGAAGGAGAGGTGAAACTTCTATGTACTCATTTTTATGAGGAAAGTCAGACAGATCTTTTAGTCCTGTTTCTACACTCACTTCTCAGTTGTCTCACTTGCAAAAATAATAAGAATTACACCCAATCATAAAGATTTTAGAGAAGGCTAAATGATAATGCGTATACAACACCTAGTATAGTGATTTCCAAAGAATATATGTGAGTACTTCAAAAAGTCATAGAAGGAGCTGATGTCATGGTGTAATAGATTAAGCCTGTCCCTGTGCTATCAGCATCCCATATGGGCACCGGCTCGAGCCTGGGTGCTGTACTTTCAATGCAGCTGCCTGCATAAGCAGCAAGAGACAGTGCAAGTGCTTGGGCTCCTGCTCCCATGTGGAAGACATGAAAGTAGCTCCAAGCTCTTGGTTTTGGAGCAGTTCAGCTCTGGCCATTGCAGTCATTTGGGGAATGAACCAGTGGATGGAAGAGCTGTGTGTGTGTGTGTGTGTGTGTGTGTGTGTGTGTCTTTCTGTAAATCTGCCTTTGAAATAAAAATATTTTTAAAAGTTATAAAATGGAATTAAATTATTTGGTTACAAAAATATTCAAATCCATGTATAGAGTGAGGTCTTCAAAAAGTTCATGAAAGTGTGTTAGATCAATTAGGGATTTTAATACTTGTGCCACACTAAACTTATCTCATGATTCCATTTTCCATGAACTATCTGAAGTGTCCTTGAACAAGATATCATTATTGTTTCAGCTTCTGTATGTCAGCTGACCAGTGAGTCAGTTCCACTTAAAGTTATCACAAGAGATGTCTCCTTTCCACAAAGGCTGTTATCTGTGTCCCAAGGCCTGGGTCCTGAGATGTGGTTCCCACGGGGCTCTAAGCCCCCTCAGCAGTGCTGTGACAGGGACCCTCAGCTTAGGTCTGTTGTCACTCACACTCCTGGTGAGTCCCAGCCTTCTCCCCACCTCAGACTGGTTCTGCCTCAGGGAGTGAAAGGGCTGCTCTGGACCAAATGCTCCTGCAGATAAGGATCATAAACTGTGTCTGCACCATCAAAGACAACTACCTTGTGAGCACTGGAGCAGGCAGGAGCCAGAAAAGACTCAGCCCTGACAGAAGCCAGGGGCACCTGGTATAGTCCTCCTGGCTTGGTTTTGTGATTGATTTTTTCAAGACTCTTTTCTAAGCTCCTGGCTACGAAACACAGGGCAAAACACAGAGAAAAGCTTACAGTTTTAGTAGCTTTATGTAATTTTTGTAGCTTGAAAAATTAGGGGTGAGGATAGACCTAGAAAGAAATCTAGACAAGGGAGGCTCCAACTCTGTTTAAACTTTGCCCAAATCTCTGCGTGACCCATGAACTGCGCATATGTGAGGTCGACTCCAAACAGCCCCCAGCTGAAAGAACGCAGCATGCACTTCAGCTTTTGCCACCACCTGTGCAATATGAAGAGCATGGGATGGAATCCAGCCAAGTTAAGACCTGTTAACAACATCCAGAAAAATCCATTTTTGGAGGAAAATATCAAAATATCAAGACTCTCTCTGCTCCTAATACATCACTCACACAATGTCTACTATATAATCTAAAGTTACATAAGGTATGAAAGACCAGAAAATGTGACACTCAACTTAAAAAAGCAATCAATGAGAACAACCCTGAAGTGATGAGTTGTTGGAATTAGTGGAAGTAGATTTCAAAGCATCTATGCTTAATAACATAAACAAATTCATACTAAATGAACAAATGCGAAATTTCAGCAAAGAAAAAGACTCTTAGGAATTCTAGAAATAAAATATATACTATCTAAATAAAAAAAGCACTCATGTGTTTAACAGCTATGAGGCAAAAAGACAACATTGAGTCAGTGAACTTGAGAGCACAGAAGGAAAAACTACCTGCTCAAAAAAAAAAAAAACAGCCTTTGTGACTTGTAGTTCAATATCAAAAGATCTAATATATGAGTAATTGGAATCTCAGCAGGAAATAAGAATGAGTCAGAAAAATAAATTGAAGAAATTTTCCAAGTTTTGTAAAATATAATAATTTATAAAGCTGAAAAACTAAGCAAATCCTAAGTGTAATCTACACAAAGAAAATCACATCTAGGTTCATGACAGTCATTCCTAAGCCCAAATGTAGATGGAAACTCTTAACAAGAAGCTGGAGAAAGATGGCAGAGAACAGCAATTTCTACCTTCCTGTAAATAAAGAAGAGAGGCAACAGGCAAAAACTCAAGAAGTTAGAACCCTGCCACTCACATGGGAGACCTGGACTGAGTTCCTACCTTCTGATTTTGGCCTGACCCAGCCTGAATGTATTTATATTTAGCGAGTAAAGAGAGTAACTGGAATATTCTCTCTCTCCCTTCCAAATTTAAAGAGAAACAATGGCATACAGAAGACAATGGAATAATATCTGCATGCTATAAAAGAAAAACAATGATCAGCACAGAATTCTCTATGTGATCAAAAATCTCCTTCAAGAATTTAAGGGGAAAGAAAATCATTTTTCAAGCCCCTGCCAAGCTGATTCATCACCAAAAGACGTGGGCTATAAGGAATGCTACTGCAGGTTTCCTAAGACAACGGGAATGCAGCCATATGTCTTCGTCTCTTTGGGCTGCTGTAACAAAATACCTTGAAGTAGGTAGATGATCAACAGAAATGTTTTTCTCGAAGTTCTGAGTGTTGGTAATGCAAGGTCAAGGCACCTGCAGACATGAAGCCTGGCAAAGGTGCACAGATGTATCTGTTCACTGGGTCTCCATTTTGTGACAGTAACTGAGCTCTTCCAGGCCCTTTATCAGGGCCCCAATCTCATTTGTTAGCCCCTCCCTTACGGCCTAATCCCAATACCTTCACCTTGGAGTTTAGGATTTCAAACATGAATTTTAGGGGGACACGGACATGCATACCATAGTACACAATAATTTGATTTTTTTTCTTTTAAAGACTTACTTATTTTTATTGGAAATGTAGATTTACAGACAGAAAGAGACACAGAGAGAAAAATCTTCCATTTGCCTATTCACCCCGCAAATGGCCACATGGCTGGAGGCGAGCTCATCCAAACCCAGAGGCCAGAAGATTCTCCTGGGTCTCCTACATGGGTGCAAAGTGCCAAGGCTTTGGGCCATCCTCCACTACCCTCCCAGGCTGTCAGCAGGGATCTGGATGAAAAAGGAATATCCAGGACATGACCTGGTACCCATTTGGGATTGCAGTACTTGCAAGGTGAGCATTTAGCCACTGAGCCATTATGCCAGCCCCTAATCCAGGCTTCCACAGAGGAATGAAGAACATCCAGAAAGGGTGAGCATTCAGATAAACATAAAAGATGTATTCCCTGGTCCCAGCCTGTTAGCCTAATGGCTAAATGCTCGCCTTGCAGCTGCTGGGATCCCATGTGGGCACCTGTTCTAATCCCGGCGGCCCCTTTGCTCCAGCTCCATGCTTGTGGCCTGGGAAAGAAGTCAAGGACAGCCCAAAGCCTTGGGACCCTGCTCCCATGTGAGAGACTCAGAAGAAGCTCCTGGATCCTGGCTTTGGACCAACTCAGCTCTGACTGTTGTGGTCACTTGGGGAGTGAGCCAGCAGACAGAAGATCTTTCTCTCTCTCTCCTTTTCTCTGCATATCTGCCTCTCAAAAAAAAAAGTATGTATTCCCTTTTAATTTCCTTAAAAAATATAATTGTTTCGAACAAAAAGTAAAAAAATGTTTTGTTTATAGTTGCACATAGATACGAGTATACTCTATATAGAAATGGAGACGAAGACACAACATTTTAAAACATGCCAAGTGTTCACAAATGATTATTTCAAACTAAGAACACATGAGGCATTGCATGTAACAGCAATAGAGGCACTGGATCTGTCTTTTGTCCACATGCAGTAATAAGCTGTAAAGATTCTTTTGGGAGGAGTGTCTTCCCATAGCAGGGAGATAAAATAGCCTTTATCACCAGAAACGGTTTATTGGGGCTATAATGGACCTTAATACATAAACTCATCCTTATCTTACATTGGCTTCACATCCTCCTACATCTCTCTCAGTGACTGCCTTAGCATTTACTACTTTTTATTCCAGATTCTTTTGTCCCTTCATCTCTTTACAAGCTAATTATCCTTTGTGGGAAAAGTATAAAAGCACTATGCAGTGGTCATCTCTTTGGAATTCAGTGCCTTGTGGAGGTCCCCATATACATGTAATATTTATTAAAGACATGCATACTTTTCCCTTATTCATCTGCCCCGTGTTCATTCGGACACCAGACTGAGTGAAGTTCTTTGCATTATGAACCAGCAAGACAGGAGAGATGATCCCTCCCTCCCTTTAAGAGGCATAACAACCATGACACAAGGATTGGACCAGACGAAGAAATATAAACAGGTGCAAGATTTTTATACTTCACGTGAAATGGTACAAAAGTGACTAACTAGTCAATCAGAGTTCAGGACATAAATATACAGTTACATGACACATACCACCATGATAATCAGCAAAGGCCCACATATATGACAGCCCTACCATGAGAATATGTGGTGAGGATGAAAATGTCCTGTCACCTACCCATGTCGTACCTCTTGTGACTTTCTCGTGGCACAAGGTATTAACTCACAATGTGTGATCATGCTGGTATAAACAAATGTGCT